CCCAACTTCACCCTTCTTTCGCGACTCTTATTAGTGGGTACGATTTAAGAATCTCTCGATTAGAACGAGTATATTTTCAGCGCTTCGTCAACAGAGATCCAATTAACATTTATTTGTCGTAAATGCGCAAGGATGGCCGGTCCAACGATGATCGTTACCTATTTCAACCCTCGGCGCGGCGAGCCTCCTTCGATGCCGTCGGCAAAGTCGAACTCTCAAAGCGAGAGGAGACACTGTTACGGAATTATTTGATTCGTTTGCAATAAAAATAGTCCTGCTATTATTCCCGTGATTCGGCAGCCGATTCTTGGACAAAAAAAAAACTGCGTCCGAGAAGAATAATCGTCGCTCGCAAAGGGTTAAAGGCGGCAGCCCGGCGGACAATAGGACTTGTTTATGGAAATAAGAATCGGCGGTTCCGAGCAATTTCGCGTTCACCAAGACCGCTTTGTAGTGCATCGCCGCATGCACTGAATCGTGGCGAACGAGTATCGATCCGATAAACTTCGGTAGAGCCGCGGGACTTAATGAAGATCGAAGTACGAGCGTCCTCGTCGCGTCGTTTCTAAGTGGCTCGTCGACGCCCCAAAGAAATGTTCTGATTCGAAGAACGCGGAAGTTCTTTGCATCTCGGGGCCTCGTCGTCGTTATCGCCGGCTCGGATGCACCCATCCATCCGAGTGACGTCATCGCGAACACTCGGCCATGCACTCGCCGCGTACAGATAGAGAGGCGCGTGCACACGCGCCCGCGTACCGGACCGCGCACGCACACCGGCCGATATAATACGTCACGCGAGCAGCGTTCAACAACCGCTAGAACCTGAATCGTGTTCCGTCTTCCTTTTTCTTCCGTGTTCACCAGTTTCTCAAGTTCATCCCCGAGTTCAGACGCGACACGCCTCTCGCGACGGGCCATTGTCAACGGAACTTTCGAATCATCGGGGAAACGGACAGCAGAACCGCGCGCGCGGATCGTTCGTTCGATTTACATTTTCGGATCTACGATCGACGATTTTTTGATATTAGCGCGTTCTTCGTTATCGCGATTCTCAGGGTACTCGCGATTATTGTTAACTTGTTCTACTGGCAGATTTCTGATAGTTCTTTGAACGTCGGAGACAATTGAAGAGACGTTAAAGACATTAAACATTTCTTAAGAAATTGTCCAAATAATAACCTCGTTCATAGACGATCGAGTTACAGTAAATTCTCTCTAATCGACGCTCAGATTCTACGCAAAGATGGACGTTTTGGGAAGACGGGATGCGATTTTCGGGTCTACGATCGACGATTTTCGGCTCTCGATGATTTTCTACTATTAGCGCGTTCTTCGTCATCGCGATTCTCTGGGTACTCGCGATTTTTATTGCCTTTTTCTACTGACAGTTTTCTGATAGTTCTTTGCTTTAGCCAAAATAATTCTTTAGATTCTACTGGATACAGCAATATATTTTTGATGACGACATTCGAGATCATAATTCGACTTCAATCGCAAATTTTTTGATAACATTCTTGGATAAGATCAAATATTTTTTGACAGCATTCCCAAGGACAAGAAGTACAGTAAATTTTCTCTAATTGGCGCTCAGATTGCGCATAAAAGTGGACAATTTGAGAAGAGGAGATACGATTATTCGAGGCTTGCGACTAGTTTTTATAATTGTTTCGAAAAAATTGTTGATATTTGAACAGCTGTAACTTTGTGCAAAAAAATCATACAACAATGGAACTCGGCTCATTTTAAAGCTCGAAGTGTCTACTTTCGGAGGCCGTTCGTCGATTTCTTCGACAAAATTTATTCGCGACGCAGTGGATGGGAAAACCTCGTTCCAGACTTTACACGAAATTTCTAACCTTCGAAACATCGACGATATTCAAAATACTGTAACTTCGTGAATAAAAATCGTAGAACGTCGAAACTAAACTCATTTTAAAGCCTGAAATCTCTACGATTTCCGTGTATAATTCATTTTCGTCGAAAAAATTGTTCGAAGACACAGCGCGCGGGAAACTGTAACAATTTATATCGGACAAAGTTGAAACGAGTCGTTTATGGAATCTTGGAATTAGAAACGGCATATAGTAAATTCTCTCCAATCGTCGCTCAGCTTTTAAACAAAAATGGATAAAACAATCGTATCTCGTCTTCCTGAATCGTCCATTTTTGTATACAAGCCGGGCGACAATTGGAGAGAATTTACTGTATTTTATCTTATAACAAGTGCACTCGTCACGCGTGAAAAGTAGTTTCACTGTTTAATTTACAATTTTTATGAAAATTTTGATGCTCGTAAATTTTAAGATATTCCGACTGTTTGAACCATCTTCGAACATCAATTTGCAAACTCGTCCAAAAAATTTCTCGAAAAGGACCCAAAGTACAGCAACGCAGTACACGCTAGGGCAAATCTCCTGCCTCGATGATCGAGCTTCGAAGATGCGGGGAAGCTCGTCTCGGCCAGAATCAATACCAAAAAATTAATCAAATCAAAGGTACTGTTACGCTGCATCACCCTTTACGATAAGATATTGCCTAAACAAGCTGACTCAACCTTATCTTCGCCCTTTAGCCCAAAAGCTGAACCCGATATTTGGCCTATTGATCACAGGCTTACGTGGCCCGTGACACATCTAATAACGTAGTCCAAAGACCCTTTGTGAGATGACTGTATAAAGAACCATCTCACCGAAATCCGAGGCTCGTTTCCAAATTCACAGTTGCGCTGTTCAGACGCGCAATTTTTGCTATACGATTTCTTGTATGTATTTCTTTGTGACCTATTCCGATAAACTTCGAGTTATCAGGGAGGAGAAGGGTTATGGAAGAAGAAGGGCATAAGAGTGCGAATTCTTCCTTTTTTGTTTTCTCTCTCGCAAATTTTTATAATTAAGATTTTTCTTTTTTTTAGTTCCAAATTTTTCGAAGTCATCCGTTCCTTTGTGGTTGCTACCATATTGTTACTTTCTCTCTCTCTCTCTCTCTCTCTCTCTCTCTCTCTCTCTCTCTCTCAGTGTAGCAAAGGGTACATCTCGTTGATAAATAATATTATTATTATTACTATTCTTCTGCTTATTATTATTATTATTATTATTACTATTCTTCTGCTTATTATTATTATTATTATTATTATTACTATTCTTGTTATTCTTATTATTATTACTGCTATTCTTATTATTCTTATTATTATTATTACTATTCTTCTTCTTATTATTACTATTATTACTATTTTTATTATTATAATTAATAAGAAGAAGAAGAAGAAGAAGAAAAATTCTCCTCGTGAGTTCTCAGAGGATTTCCTCTCTGCTTTGTGCCTATCTCGAACGGGTTACGCCACGTTCATGTAGGTGTCTCTATTGCAAAAATTATCTTACCATTGTCGTTATGTTTAGAATGCTTGCTTTTAGTATATGCAAATGTATATGTGCTGGCAAGTGTAGTATATGTAGATTCTGTACGAACAATTTTGCCTGTTACCGATATTATGAACAATACTATTGGCATTATTATTATTATTATGATTATTATGATTATTATTATTATTATTATTACTATTGTTATTATTACCATTATTAACGATTCACCTCTTGGGCCACTGATTACGACCACCACCGCATCCGACCAATCCCTAAGGCGAGTTCGCGGGGCGTGTGCATCAGTGGGCCCGGCGTCCCGAAAACCAGCGGCCGGCTTCCGTTCGCGGGAACGCGGTCGAATTCGGGCGCTGACCATCTCCCGCGGTCGTCTCGGACGCGTGACTCTTCCACGCGGTGCCACGCCACGATGTTTCCTCGCCGCGAAAGAGATGGAACGATCAAACGCGAAGCGGGAAAAAGGGGCAAACACGCGGCGACGTCAGCTGCCAGCTGAACCGCTATCGGGATCGCGGTTGTACAGCTCGGAGGAGGAAGCCGAGAGAGAAGCGCGGTTCGTCCGACGAAGAGGAAGAAGCGGAGGGTGATCGACCGAACGTGGCTGTCGAGCGACGAGGAGGGCCGTAGGATCGTGAGGAACCAACGAGGAGAGACAGACAGACAGAGAGAGAGAGAGAGAGAGAGAGAGAGAGAGAGAGAGAGAGAGAGCGAGAGAGA